AAGGATGCTCTGGGGAAAGGGGACAGACAAGGCTGAAGAAGGACACTGAAGGGGCATCTGGCGAAGGGGCATCTGGGGAAGCGGCAGGGATCAAATCAGGAAGGGTTTGAAAGCTTCAAGCTGTGAAGTATGTATGGCTTCAAGAGCTGGTGGTCTTCCAATCTTGGGATGACTTTGGGGGCAGCGCTCGAAGTATGCTGAAAGACAATGCTAGTGCAAACGCCAGGCAAGGAGGGGTCTCTGCAAAGGCAGAGGTTGTGCATCTGGAGGGAGCAGGCAGCCAAGAGTTATTCGGGAGGCAGATTGGACAGGATGTGGTGATTTACTGAGCGTGGAGAAAGAGAAGAAAGGAGGATGGGAAGGGCAGCTGCAGGGAACTGAAGTGGGCAGCTAGCTTCATGCTGATCACATTCCCCAGGCCAGAGAAGACAGGCAGAAGATGAGGCTAGGGGAAGCCAACAGGGCACCTGGAAAGAGCAGAGTTCACACAGGATGCGCCTCTCAGCTTGCCTGTCACATGGCAGCCACAGGGGATGGTTTGAATAAATCCTACCTTCTGTTTTTGATACAGGTGACCTGTGCTGTCCCGGTGGTACTTTCTACTGACATGACTCTTATCCCAGGCCAAGTTCTCTTATGGGTGTAGATAGCTGTCATAGCAGGCAGAGGGTGAGACGAAGGAAGAGGTAATGCTTCCAGAAAGGGAACCCCATTATTTCCATGTTCATTTCCCGCAGACATAGCCTATAGGGAACAGTGGTGTGGGAGTCAAGGAAAACCAAGATTTGGATTCCTGCTTCTGGCAAGAGTCCTTTTTCTGAATTCTGCGGGGAAGTGGGTTCAGCAAGGTTGAAGGATAAAGTGCATTCTGTTTTCCAGAAGACTGCCAAGCAGCCAGAGTGCCACATGGAGGAGCTGATAGGGATGGACCAGAAGTGGGGTGGGGGCAGGTTTACAGGCAAGGGCCTGAGGCTGGGCCGGGAAAGCTGAGGAAAGGGACTCAGGGGTGCTCAGGGGGTGCCGGGGAAGATGGCCCTTGTCAAGAGGACTTGGTGCGGGTTAAGATAGTTCTGGCCGTTTTGGATGCAGAGCCCAGAAGCAGCTCTGATGGGGACTCAGGGAAGGAAGTAGTCTGTGGGGAACAGGGCACGATGCATGTGGGTCAAGCTGGGTCAGCGAGTCAGGCAGGTATCTTCCAGCCAGCAGTCATACAGGGCGAAATGGAGCCCTGGGGTCTGAGATGTCAAGCTGAAATATGAAAGAGGCGGGGGCAGGAAGTAGGAGTGACGGCAGGAAGAGGTTAGGAGGCTTATCTTTTCCATCTGGGAACAGCAGAAAACCTGGGGTCCAAAGGTCTCGGATTCCTGGCTTTACTGCTTCTAAGCCCTTAAGAGGACCTGGAACCACCAGAAAAGGGCTTTTGACATTATTTGGCTCCTGACTGCTTTTCTCTCCTACCTCACATGTTCCTTTAATAAATATTAACTGTCACAACACCAAACAATTCTAGGGACATGTTATTAACTTATATTATTAACTTAACTTATTATTATTCTTAACTCATATTATTCTCTCTGCCTAGAAATACGCTTCTACTTCTTTGCCTACCTGGAGAATTCCTCTTCTTCAAAACCAAACTATGATGTTACCTACTCTGATCCCTATAAACACCTTAGAATATCATCATGGCACTAATATACAGAAGGGCAATTGATTAAAAACAGAGGTCATTTACCCCATGTTGGCACACACTAGGGCCGCAATACATGTGTCTGATAAGTGCGTGAAAGGATGTATCTGAATAGGGGTCTAGCTCACCTTTCTTTGGCTGGGCTGCTGACACAGTAGTGCAGTCCCCTGCCTCCCTTGTTTCTAGAGCTCTGGCAGTACGGCCTCACTCAGAGGAATGTTAATAGCAGACAGTCTCCATCCTTTGGGGCTGGAAGCAGCCCCAGGGTGAGCTCACATCCTTCCCTGGATATCCATAGCACCTTGCCTGGCACTAAAGCTCAGTTTTCTGCAAAGCGAGGGAAATGTCAGGGTCAAAGACGCGGCAGGCAATGCCAATCATACAACCCACTCGAGCCCTTCAGGGGATGACCTAAAGAAAGAGAGAGATGGGTCTGCCCAGCTCTAGGATGGGAGTCCTCTGCCTGGGGTGGGTGTCAATGGGCTCCAAGGGATTCATGAACTGGTGTGTAGATGGGCATTTTTCTGGGGAAACAGTTCACAGCTTTCATCAGTTTTGCAAAGAGGTCCCTGACCTTTAAATATTAAGACCTACCATTCTAGAAACGTGCCCTCCTCCAGGCAGCTCTGATCTGAGAATCAGCGGCTGACTCCAGATCACAGAGGCCTCGGTCTTCACCAAGGCAGATCACAGAAGGGACCCAGGTTCCTCCATAGCATGCCACACACATGCCCGAATACCACCCCAAGAAGAGCCTTTTTGAAGACAAATGTGCAATTTAAGGAAGTTTCCTTATCTGTGTCTTTTACAGGTTCAAATGCAATGAAAGAGAAGGAGTTAGGCTTAGGATGCCTCTACTTTGACCTTTATATTCCTCAGCACAACAAATCCTCAAAAAATAAAAAGGCAAATCTCCAGGGTCTCATTGCTGAAGAAGAGTCATGTTTGACCTCGTTCTATCAGGGCTGAGCTCAGGAAATGCTAATAAACAGACAAATCCTGTGCAATAGCTTTTTACATTTGACCTTTCTTTTTTTTTTTTTTTTCTGGCATAGGAGCCTTAGAAGACAGCAGGAAAAAGGCTTTCCATATTAAAGAGGCAAGAAATGTACACACACACATGCACGCACACACACACATGCACACACATAGAGAGAGCAAATCTAAAACTGTACTAAACTCTGGGGAACTGAGAGTCACTTTTCACCCACATCCTGTCAGGGTTGAAAAGCATAGAAAAAGGTTTCTACTAAAATGTATGTATGTTTTATTCTTTTTTAAAGAAAAATGAGTCCCTCATATGCACCCAGATATCTGAAAAGCTCAGCTGGATATTTTTATTTGCTTAGTTCCCACTGTTCTGCCCATGATTTCTGAAAAGATAGTTTAAAAAAAAATCCTTACATTTGAGTCTGTAAATTTCAGTTGTTAAGAACACATGCTTTGTCCCTAAACAGGCATGGGCTCTGCCACTGACTTGCTAGGTGATACTGGACAGGTTTCTTCATCTTTTTAAGAACTTATTCACCAATTAAAATAGGTGTATGATCTTCCAAATTAAAAAAAAAGAGAAAAATGGGAGTATGAATGGTACCGATGTCACATGGTGGCTGAGATAATGAAATGAAATAATGCACTTAGGATATTAAGTGAAGTAAGTCAGACAGAGAAAGACAAATATATGGTATCACCTCTATGTGGAATGTAAAAAAATAATATCAATACAAATGAACTTACAAAACACAAATAGACTCACAGACATAGAAAACAAAGTGATGGTTAGCAAAGGAAAAGGCGGGAGAGGATAAATCAGGAGCTTGGGATTAACATATACACAGTACTGTACATAAAATAGATTACCAACATGAACCTACTGTATAGCACAAGGAACTATATTCAGTATCTTGTAATAAGCTATAATGGAAAAGAATCTGAAAAAGGATATATTACACACACACACACATGTATAACTGAATCACTTTGCTGAATACTTGAAACTATCACAAGACTGTAATGGTAAATCAATTATACCTCAATATTTTTTAAAAATGGAAAATCTAAGGCTAGCTTGGCAAACTTGAAGCATTCAATGAATGGCAGCTAAAGACCAGGAACTGTGGGGTAAATCCCCTACCAATGAAAGAAACTATTCCAAGGACGCATTTTTCTGCGTTTTCATAAATGTTCTAACACACAGAAAGAAAAAAACGCAGCAACAATGGGGCTGCGCTTCTCGGGGAGGATCCCCTACTTTATACATTACATGGGGATGTCAAGACTGCATTCTTCACCTTCAGGTGAGCTCAAGCCTGGCAGGGAAGGGATCTTCCCTCCCCAGCAACAATGTGGGTCATCTGACCAGGTCCACAGAAGGCCCAGGAAGCCAAGACACACTGCATATTTCCCAGTGATCAGGCCCCATGAATCCTGTCCTCTCTTCTAGAAAGCCCTGGTCAGGCCTGGACCCAAACCCTTATCATCATTCCTTCGGCCCATTTCCAACATGCTCAACTCAGCTGAGACCTGAGTGGTTCTCAAAAGTTCATCTGGGCCAAGAAATAACATCCCTGACAATCTTTTGACCAAATGATCATCACCCTACAGAACCCAGCAAAGTTGCATTCTCATTGCATTCTCATCTATTTCTCCAAAAGGGCTTTTACCTACTTTCTGTAAATTTACCATGTCAGAAATACTTATCCTCAACTTTGGTTTTAGTTTTTTTCCTTACGCATTGCCGGCGAGAACTCGCATCCTTTTGATAAAGGATTTGGCTACTTTGCATGGAAAGGCTTTTGCTCTGTCAAATCTCACTCCTGATCACCTCTTACGCAAATCATATAAAGCAGTTTCAGTAAATGAACCCATCCCATGGTCTGGTATCTACAACGGATTTCTAGGGATCCACTTACCAATTGCATTAAGTGCATTTTCTCTAAGCTTCTCTCGCCTGTTGGAATCTTACTTCATCTAAGTTTTGTATTAATATGTGGCTTTTCTCAATAATCACTGTGTTAAAACCCAAATTTCTTTTCCTTTCACTTTAACTATCTTTCCCACAGAGGAAGAAAAGAAACAAAAATCTTTGTGTCATTTGATCAAGGAAGGCTGACTTCACTTATTAGTAAAATTAATAGACTCCAGACAACTGCGTCATCATCCACCAGTTCCTTCAACAACAGGGAAGCATGGATCAGTACAAGGATTGGGAATGAGGGGATTCCATGTGTTGGCCTTTGAACCTTCCTTAAAAAAGTACATTACCACAGATAACTTTGCAAAGGCATTCACAACAATGACATTTCCTTACCCGGCAGTCTCTCTGAAGTGTCTTCATGAGTGCATTGTATGTTTCTGTATCAAAATACAATCCTTCATGCATGTCCTGCAGGAAATCTAAGTCCTTAAACGTGGGGCTAGATTTCTCTCTCTCTTTTCTGGATGCTCTTCGCTTATAGGTTGAGCCTTTCAAGTCATACGTGAAGTGCATTCTCATGGAGCGTGGTAAAACGTTGTTCATCACCACAATCCTGATGTTAATGCCCCCTGACTGCATGCAATACAGTCCATAAAATTTTGGCAAAAGAGTTCTTGGATTCTGGTTCAAATTCTAAAAAGAGAAAAAGAAAAAAAATGTTTAAAATGTACTTTTACAAAGTAAGACTCCACTATGATGCGTTTTCATGTAAATTGATAATTAAAAACGGAATGTGATTACTCTCGTTAACAGTCATTTGTTAAAATTTTGCTGTTCCGAATCTAGTTTCTAAGTCAGCTTATGGGAGCTGCAACTTTATCATTCTGAACTCAGGGTGTTAAAAGTGGCTGAACTGAAAATGGACAGAATTTCCTTCTTTAATTAGTTACAACTAAAAACAGGCAGAGATGTGATTAATGCCATGTGTGATTATTCTCTAAGGTAGCTCAAGAGAAAATTAGGTGCTGGGGTACAAGGGTGGACATTTAAAATCTTAATAGCTCCTGAGAAACTGTCTTCCAAAATGACCAGACCAGTTCACAACCACACTTCATAAGGTTACATATATCCCACCACTCTTTACCAATGCTGAATATTATCCTACTTTACAATCTCTGGAAGCAAGCTTGGTGAAAAATGAAAATGTGTTTTCAAGTTAATTTAAATGTGAATACCACAGAGAACTAGAGAAATTTAATATTCTTATGTATTTTTAACCACCTCTTAAAGATAATTTTGTGTTACTCTCCTTTGCTCCTTTTTCCTTATGTTTTTGTCATTGTTGGAGTTCTTGATATATTCTGGATATTTATTATTTTCCTCTTCTACTTGGGGTAAATATTTTCTTCCAGTATGTTGTCTTTTTTGTTACAAAAATAGACAATCTAACTTTGTTTTTTGGCTGCCTCACAGGGCATGCAGAATTTCCCCAACCAGGGATGGGACCCATGCCCCCCTTCATTGGAAACACAAAGTCTTAACCATCAGACCACTGGGCTATAAAAATAAGGAATATGTATCTGTTTTTGTTTCACTTTAAAAGTATGGGAAAACTAAAAAATAGTTTTTTTGTTGTTGCTTAGTCGTTAAGTCATGTCCAACTGCTTTGAGACTCCATGGACTATAGCCCACCAGGCTCCTCTGTCCATGGGATTTTCCAGGCAAGAATACTGGGGTGGGTTGACATTTCCTTCTCCAGAGGATCTTTCCAACCCAGGGATCAAACCCATGTCTCTTGCATAGGCGGGCAGATTCTTAACCATGGAGCCTAAAGGGAAGCACCAAAAATAGTTTACTAAAAGGCATTTATATAATGAAAAGTCTCTCTTCTATACTTAATCCTTCCCCCATTTCCCAGCTTTTGTGGAAACTGTTTTCTCTTTCTTTCTATCATTCTGGAAATATTCTATGTGCTTATGTTAATTTTATATCTGGCATTATTTTTGGTTATATAGATGTTTTGCCTTTTCATGTAGTTATATTTATGAACTTGTTTCTCATACTTTTTTTGGTTTCTTATTTAGCAAGGCTTTTTATACCCCAAGGTTATAAATTTCTTCCTTCTTCTTACAAATCTTTAATAGTTTTGGTGATTACATTTGGCTTTTACTCCATATGGGATTAATTTTTTTTCTTTCAGTTTTACTGAGATATAATTGACATACAGCACTGGGTAAATGTACATAGAGCACTGATCTTCTGACTTATATACATCATGAAATGAGTATCACAGTAAGTTTAGAACAGAGTTCTTAGGATTACTCTCTTAACAACTTTCATGTGTATGTAACAGCAGTCCCCAATCTTTTTGGCACCAGGGGCCGGTTTCATGGAAGACAATTTTTCCATGCATGGACCCAGGAGTTTTGGAGGAGATGGTTTTAGATGACTCAAGTACATTACATTTATTGTTCTAATGATAATCTGTATTTACAGCTGCTCCCCAGGGCTAGCATCACTGCCTCAGCTCCACCTCATATCATCAGGCATTAGATTCATATTAGGAGTGTGCAACCTAGATTCTGTGCAATCACAGTTCACAGTAGGGTTTGCACTCCTATGAGAATCTAAGGCCACCACTGATCCGACAGGTGGCGGAGCACAGGCCGAAACGTGAGTAACACAGAGTGACCGTAAATACAGATGAAGCTTCACTGGCTCCCCTCCTGCTGTGCGGCCTGGTTCCTAACAGTACCAGTCTGTAGCCCAGGGTTTGGGGACCCCTGATATATAACATGCAGCAGTATTCATTATCTTTATCATGTTTACATTAACATCCCTAGTAGCTATTTATCTTGTAACTAGAAGCTTGTACCTTTTGACCACCTTCCTCTAACTACCCCTTCCCCCCACCTCCCACCTCTGGTAACCACAAATCTGATCTCCTTTTCTATGTGCTTGTTTTTGAAGTAAAATTGACCTACATAACTACGCCAGTTCCTGTTATACAACATAGTGATTAGATATTTCTATACATTTCAAACTGATCATCACAATAAGTCTAGTTGAAACCTATCACAACACAAAGATACTACATACAGTCCCCACACTGTCCATTGCATAGCCATGACTCATTTATTTTGCAGCTGGAAGTCTGTACCTCTTAATCTCCCTCCCCTGTTTCTCTCCTCCCCTGACCCTTCTTCCCTCTGACAACCACCTCTTTGTTCTCTGTGTCTATGATGCTGTTTCTGTTTTATGTTTGATCATTTTTTTTGTTTTTTAGATTACACATATAAGTAAAACAATACTGTATTTGTCTTTCTCTGTATGGCTTATTTCCCTCAGCATGATACCCTCTAGGTCTATCCATGTTGTCACAAATGGCAAGATTTCATTTTTTTTTTTCTGGTTGAGTAATATTTCATTACATATGTATATTGTATTTTGTTTTTCCATTCATTTAATGATGGGCACTTGAGTTGCTTCCATATCTTGACTTTTGTAAAATAATGGTGGAGTGAATATAGGGGTGCATACGTTTTTTCAAATCAGTGTTTTTGTTTCCTCTGAATAAATTCCAGGAGTGGTATTTCTGGATCATATAGTAGTTCTGTTTTTAATTTTTTTGAGGAATCTCCATACTGTTTTCCATAGTAAAGTAGTTTACATTCCCATCAATGGGCATGAGGATTCCCTTTTCTCTACATCCTTGCCAACACTTTCTACTTGTTGTCTTTTTGATAATACCTACTCTGACAGATGTGAGGTGATATCTCACTGTGGCTTTGATCTGTGTCTCTCTGATGATTAGTTATACTAAGCATCTTTTCCTGTGCCATCTGTTTATCTTCTTTGGGAAAATGTCTAGTCAGATAGTGTGCCAAATTTATTTTCATTTTTTTGTTAAAGCATATTTGATTTATAATGTGTTTGCTTCCAGTGTACAGCAGAGAGATTCAGTTATTCATATATATATATATATACACACACACACATATATACATATATATAACTTTATACATATATAAGTAACTTTTCCAGATTCTTTTCCATTACAGGTTTTTAGAAGATACTGAATATAGTTCCCTGTGCTATACAGGAGACCCTGTTGTTAATCTATTCTATATAAAGTAGTATATCTGTAATCCCAAATTCCTAATTTATCTCTCCACCCCTTTCCCTTTTGGTAAGTGTAAGTCTGTTTTCTATGTCTGCGAGACTCTTTGTCTTGAAATTAAGTTCATTTGCACTGTTTTTTGGTTCGGCATGAAAGTGATACCACATATTTCTTTATCTGACCTAATTTCCCTTAGTAAGAGAATCTCTAGGCCCATCCATGTTGCGGCAATTGGCATTATTTAATTTTTATGGCTGATTAATATTCCATTATTTATATAGGTACCATATCTTCTTTATCCATTCACCTGTTGAGGGACACTAAGGTTGCTTCCATGTCTTGGTTATTGTAAATAGTGCTATGAACACTGGGGTGCATCTTTTCAAATTAGAGTTTCTCCATCTATATGCCCAAGAGTGGGATTTCAAAATCATACAGTAGATATATTTTTAGTTTTTTAAGGAATTTCCATACTGTTCTCCACAGGGGCTACACCAATTTACATTCCCACCAATAGTGTAGGAGGGCTTCTTTTTCTGCACATTCTGTCCAGCACTTATTATTTACAGACTTTCTAAAGATGGCCATTTTGACTGGTGTGAGGTGACACCTCATTGGAGTTTTGATCTGTATTTTTCTAATTTGATTTGCATCTTTTCATGTGCCTGTTTCTGACATTTTTAAAAGATATCTTAAGTGGGTTGTTTATTATTTACTTTTCATGTAGGGTTTTATGAGTTTTCTGTAGGTTGTTTACATTAACCCCTTATCATGTATATCATTTATGAATATCTTTTCCCATATAGTAAGTGATCTTTTCATTTCATTGATAGTTTCCTTTATTGTGCAAAAGTGTTTTAGTCTGATGCAGTCTCATTTATTTATTTTTTGCTTTTGTTTCCCTTGTCTGGAAGTAACTGTGTGTGAAAGATCTGAAATAGGGGATTTTTTTTTTTTCAAATGGATAAGCATTTATTGAATGGTCTGTCCTTTCTCAGTTGAATTTAAGTCCCTCCTATATCATGCAATAAGTTGTCAAATACACATGGGTCTATTTCTGGACACTTTATTTGAATCCATTGATCTTTTTGTCTAGATCTGTACAAATGTCACCACTTTAATACTAGTATAGATTTACACATTACTGGTGTATGCTATGGCAGGCCTAACATTTTCTCCTTTGCCAAAATGTTTTGTCCATTTCTACAGGCTTGCTTTCCCGTTTGTTTTTAAAACTATTCTTAACATAATATTTGTTTTCACTTTCAAATGAACCAGCTCTGTGAAGTTCAGGGGAAAAAATCCTATTAGAATTTTTGATTGGAATTAGACTGGATTCATAAAATGATGTGGGCAAGTAAAATCATTACAATTCTGAGTTCAGGAATGATGCACATTTCTTTATTATTTCAGAACTTTGTTTATGTCCTTCAAAAACATTTAGTAGTTTCCTTCATATTGGTCTTGTTCATTTTTGTTTATAGACATAAGCATTTGAGTTTTTATTAAATAAAATTTTATAAATTCTTTTTGGATTATTGTTCATGTGCTATACTTATAAGCTGCTTTTCCAATTAGAATTATAGTATGTCTTCATTTATTTATATCTTTAATAATAATCATTATAAATTATTGTCATCATGAATGGAATTCCTTTTTCCCCCTTATACCCTCCAACTTTATATGATCTACATAATGGAATATGGTGGATTTTGTAGATTTATCAAATATCCTGCAAATCTACCTGATTTTCATTACCTCTAGAAACTACTGGTTTATTTTCTTGAAGTTCTGCTCATTTTCAATTGCATCATATATACAGAACAGTGTTTATACTTTTCTTCTATGTTTTTTATACTCAAAAAGTTCTGCTGAAAATTCTAGCAAATACATTAGAAAAGATCATTGATGGAAAGTATCCTTATCTTTTTCTATTACTTTCAGTGAAAGAGCTTTTGTTCTTCTCCATGAAATGTTATGTGAACTCTGGGAGATTAATAAAAGTTGGTTTTTATGCCTATTGGTTTATGTGCCTATTATGTAAAATTTTCCAATATTAAGGATTATCCCTGATATCTAGATGGATAACCACATATTAGCTCACATTTTTTTCTTGCTAATAAGATAAATTATATTATTTGTTATACTAGCTTACATGGTTGGGATAAAATTACTTGGTTAGGCTAAATTTTAAAATTTTACTTAATTTAATGGCCACATATGGCTAATGGCTATCATATTTGTCAGTGTAGTTCTACAGTAAGAGACTAGTCTACTTAAGCTTAGAAATAGAGAAGTTTAAGATTTACTCACTTAGAAGATTAACAAAGAGTGCTATGTGAGTTTGACTGCAATTTTAAATTATTTAAAAATGTGTGTATGACTAGGATACATTTGAAAGGATATATACCAAATACTAGCAATGTGTATCTCTGAGAAAATAAATACAGTTGGTTGCATTTTTTCCTTTTCTGTATTTTCTATTTTCCCTAATATAAAGTAGATAATTTGTGCTAAAAAAAATTTCCCAGTTTTGTTCAGGATCAAAATCTTTTAAAATCTGTGTATGCTGCCCACTAAGATTTTTGTTTAGATTTTCAATTCCTATATTTATACGTGAGACTAACTTATAGCAGTTACTGTTTTATTGAGCAGATTTTGGAGTTAAAAAATATTTTTACACACTAATAAGCTGTATGGTATAGCTCATCAATTTTGTTTTGAAACAAAGATGACAGTTATCACCTCATAGCAAATGAATAGCAGAACTGTGGCTTTTGAAGTTCTGCTGCCATTCCAATCACAGAAAATTAATAATTGCCATGAAAGTACAAAGAAATCAGAGGTATGAAAACAACAAAACTACTGAGGAAAATGTTTATTTTAAAAAATCTGGTCTAAATGTTCAGCAAATCCAAATCCTGGGCTAGGTTATAGTTTCTTTGTCTCTAAAACATTACATGGAAGGTGATTTTCATGTTGTATTTAACCTATGGCATCCTAAATTCTGAAGTGTGATAGCTAAAAGTGGCTAATACTGAATGTGTGCCCCTACAAGGTGCAGGGGTTAAAGATGCACCCTCTGAATCCCTACTGCTTCTGTTCAAGCCCCGGATCTATAGCCCATTAGCTAAATAACCCTTGGCAAGTGATTCCGTTTATCTTTGTCTCAATTACCTCATCAGTTTTACAGCTTAGTCCTCAATGAATGTTAACTACTCACATTACTACTATGTACAAAGAGCTCTGCAATGCATTGCTTCCTTTATCCTGCATCCTGGATCCTGTCTTTATTACAACCACCATGGAAGACAGGTCTCCCAGCCTTCAAAGACTGAGGCTCAGAGCTTACCTCATTTACTCCTGGTCACACAAGTTAGTTGATGGCTGAGTGGGATATGAGCCCAGGACTAAATCAGTCAATAGCTATGCTCTACTACATAGTTCTACTTAATTTTCAAAATCTATTCAATCGATTTCATAGTATACTCGAAATGCAAAATAAACCTCACCAAAGAGAAAGAAACATGCCAGAGTCACTGAAAAAAAAATTAAAAAAAAAAAAAACTGTGGAGGAAAGTAATTAAATCTTAAGTAGAAGTTTTAAGTATGTGCACTTACCATGTAATAGCCTGGCAGTAGCTTCTGAAGGAACTCTGCTTCTTTATGCTGAACTGTTTTGATGATAAATTCATCATCACTGGTCACAAAAAACAAGGATCCACTGGCTCCAGGGTTAGACAGCTCTATTAGAGGTTCACTGCATATGGAATACTACAAGAGCAAATACATAAGCAGTAAAAGTACATTAATGTGTATGATGCATCCAATGAAGAAGATCACAGCATTACATGTCTTACCCATGTTAAGATAGGAAGCCCTCTCCAAGAGCTTTAAGAGGAGACTCTAGATATACTAAAAACTCTTACAAGAGTTCTAAAAATTTAGCTGATCCATTTACCTTAATAACTCTATGGTAGGAAACAATAAGTCTTCCTCCACCCCCAGTACCACAGAATCATGAATCACCATATTTGTTCAATGAGATAACTCCGAAGAGTGGTGTTGACCAAGTCACTTTGTTTCTAGCAAGTGCCCACAAAATAAGAATGGAAGGCATGGTCCTCACTGTGTATTCATCACTTACTTGACACCAACACATATTCTTGTCTCACTGTTTACTCTCCTAAGAGAGGCCATTCACTCATGATTTCAACAAAGAGTTGACTCTAACATCTGCATCTCCAGCCAAGATCTCCCTTGGGGGATCTAGACCTGTATGTCTAACTATGTAACAGACATTTCTACTTAGTTATACCACAAACACTTCATATGTAACAATTTCAAAAGCAAGTTCATCTCAGCCTGTGGTTAACCCATGTGGTGCCTTGGTAGTGATTAGAAAGAAGGAACTCTTTTTTTCCCCTGGTATATGCAGCTCTGAGCCATAAACAGGTTGGTGAACAGATGAAGAGATAGATTCCAGTATTCACTCCTTCACCTTAGCCAGGTATTCCTGGGCGGTGCGCACCCTGCACAACTACACATGCTGACTAGATCATCTGTTGCTCCCCCATTCTCCATCATCTCTCTTTCTCCCTATCTTATAAAAAGGAAGCATCATTCATTCTCCCTCTTATAGAAAGGAAGCATCATTCACTGTTTTCCACACCAGAAACTGGGACATCATCCTTGATGTTTCACATCTGTTCATCTTCCATATCCAGACTACTGCTAATGTCGGCCCCATTCATGACATCTCTTTTTCAATTTCCTGAAGTTCAATGGTTTCATTATTTCAGCCTTGATTATATGGCAAGCTCCACCTGTTCTCAGCTATCCACTCTCGACTCCTCCTGAGGATCCTCCACCAGGAAACCAGAGATCTTTCCAAACTGCATAGGCTTCCATGTCTTCAAACCTTTCTGTGGGTTCCACTGTTAATAGAGACAATTACATCCAAGTTTCTTAGCAGAGCGTTAAAGTCCGTGGATGACAAAGCTCTGCTCTTCAGCCTTCTCTCTCATCCCTTTCCTCCTTAAATTCTACCTCTAACTCCAGAGAATTTTCTCAAGTGTGCCACACACTCTTGACTATCAATTGCATTTTCTTCTAACAGAAACCACTTCCATGCTACCTTCATCTGACTGAATACCACCAAATAAAACTTCCTTTTAAAAAAACCCTTATTTTCTTGACAACAGACACTGGACTACCATTATATAAAAATAAATTATCTTTGGTAGGATGTATATGCAATTAAACACTTAACATATGGATTTTATCATCCACTTGGCTTGCTGATTCTTCATGAAAACCCTTAGGACAATTTGGTTAACATCACATATGATTCTAGTTCTATGCCAGAAATGCATTATCCATGTTCATTCAACATTTAAAAAGTACCTACTGAGTGCCCACAGATGCACTGCCCCAGGCACTTAGGAAGCTTATACAGCAGGAGGAGGAAACGGCCAACAAAAAAGTAAATAACTTACACATCAGAACGTGCTTAAGTGCTGTTGAGAGAAAGGACATAGGGAAAGGGGGATGCAGGGAGTACCACCAACGATGAAGACAAGGTGGTCACTAAAAGCCTTATTGGGAAGGTGGCATTTGAGGAGAGGCCTGGGGCTATCTGGAGAAGGGGTACTGAAGGCAGAAGGAAGGGCAAAGACTAAGATCTTGAGACCTGGAGTGTTCATGGCACGACAAGGAGGCCACGGCTGAAGCAGAGGGAGCAGAGAGGACAGCGGAAGTGGAAGAAGCCAGGAGGGTCTGGTGAGACAGACAAGTAGGGAGTCATAGGCCACATAAGGAATGTGGCCTTTTATGTAGGGGCGCTGAAAGCCACTAGAGGGTCTGGAGCAGAGGACCACTCACTCCATCTGCTGCGCTAAGAGGCCCCAGTAGGAGGACAAAAGGAAGACACAGTGAGAGGCTGGTATAGTGACGCTGGCCTCCAGTGTCTGCTGGACAGCACTTGCTCTGGAAAACTCTGCCTGGGTCCAGATCACCTGCTGCCTGACAGTGGATGCTCTCGTCACAGAGGACACCATGTCAACGTGTTAGTCGCTCAGTCATGTCTGACTCTCTGCAACCCCATGCATTGCAGCCCACCAGACCCCCCTGCCGATGGAATTCTCCAGGCAATCCTGGAGTGGGTTGCTATTCCCTTCTCCCAGGGATCGAACCCAGGTCTCTTGCATTGCAGGCAGATTCTTTACCATTTGAGTACCATAAAATACCTCAATTGCCTATTTACTTATTCCAAGTTCCCTCTAGACTGTAAAACTCTATGAGGGCAGAAACCATGACTCTCTTAAATTCTGATATGGTTCAGGATCTGTGCCTCGTACACAGAAGGGACTCAATAAATTTTTGTCAAATAAATGACTGAAATTTACCAACAAATGAAGGGCTGTCAGTCTCCCCAAGTAGTGCCCCAAACCAGCAGAACAGGCAATTTCAGGTTTATGAGTTTAGTGTTTATTAGTTAATAATCCCTATTATTGACTTATAGAAACATTGTGGGCAGAGAAAAAGGTAAGGAAACTAATGTGTGAGATCAGACTAGCCCTGGTGAGATACAATAGCAGGGATTTAAGCAACTGTATTTTGAAGATGGAGGCATTTGAAATCACCAGGGCTGAACATCCTTCAAAGTGTTTTATCTGGGTTTGTGAATATGTAAGTCCTTTTCACAGAAACATCTGAGAGGATATGAGGAAGAAGGGAATGAGGGAGGAGAAGAAACAGAGAAACTGGGAGAAAAATGATTAAAAGGTAGTGTCTAGATGTTACCTTTTAAATCATCCTGCTTTGGCAGCACTGTGGGTAAGGGAAACAAAATTCACCAGGAAACAAAAGAAGCAAGAGTTCGCTGCCTTTCTTAACATCACTGGCAACTTTCATATCCTACCTTCTCCTTTTTCTTCCAGCCTTGCTTCCTGAAGCTCTCTTGCTAAGCAGCACTGCAACCTAAGCCCTTAAGAATGAGTTGAGGATAAGCAAGGAAAATAAAAACAGTCATCAGCCTCCACACAGGATGCTGTAAAAGCCAAGAGGAAGCAGAGGGAACCTTCCCTGCTCAGGGCAGAGTCCACGTGGAAGGAGAGGCCTGGGTTTGGAATCAAATGACAGTTTGTAAAATCATGACTCTGCCAGTGGCTAGTAACGTGACCTTGAGTAATTTAGCATCTTGGAGTCTTAGAAACCTCATCTCTAAAATAAAGATGGTGATATATACTTGATAGCATCTCAAGAGTTTTAAAAATAAATGGTTTTGAAATCCCTGGCAAAGAGTGACAACTTATGCACTGCTGTTTGCCATTTTTCAGTACATGCTCAGCAGTGCCCTAGGATGTACTGAGAGTTTCAGCCTAACTCCCATGACAAGAAGGCTACTCAAAGGTACACTAAGATGATCTTGGTGAAGCAAGAAAAGAGATGGGTGGGGGTGATAAGTTAGGAGTTTGGGATTAAGACATACTACTCTACATAAAATAGATAAACAAGGACCCACAGGGAACTCCACTCAATATCTTGTAATCTATAATGGAAAAGAATCTTAAAAAGAATGTACATGCATATATATATATATATATATATATATATGATTCACTTTGCAGTACACTTGAAACCAATACAACATTGCGAGTTAACTATACTTCAATTAAATAAATTTACATTTTTAAAAAGAAAAAGTGGGTGATTTGTGTAATCATGAATCTGAGACTCAGGAAAATAAAGGTGTAAACCCCATTCTCATACAAAATGAAGGCAGATCCCAGACTCTCTAAAGGATTTTGATTCTTTGTTCCATGGGGTTTGGATTTCTGGCATAGAATCCTCTTGTGGGTAGGAGTAAATGTTGTGAAAGTACAAAAACAACAAAGAATGCAGAAATTAGGGGCTGCAAATAGAAAAATTAGGGGGTGATTCAGGAAGAGCTGTCTAGGGAAAACTGGATTCAGATGTGTACATCTGCTTCTAATTAAAGTCTCAGATTCTTCCAGAAGCAGTGACACAAACTGGAGACTCTTTCATTGGTTACTTAATTGCCAAATACTCCTTTATTATGCAATTTACAGATGAATATGAATGGAGAAATCAGTTGTTTTGACCTCTTTCAATAACCATTTTGGGGTCACTCCTAGCACAGTGTCAGTCTACAATAAGCTGGCATTAGGATGCAGAACCCCTTCTACTATTATCACCTCTGATTCTATGGATTTTCACCTTGCAACTCTGTTACAGTGTTCTCTGCTAAGCTATCCTCTCTAAAATGTTGCCTTTTCAGAGCAAATAAAGAGGAGCTATGGGAACATTTTAATTAGCTGTGATCAACAAGCCCCTGTGTACACCTTGATGCACCTTCCTGGCACCCTCACTGTGCAAGCTGTTGCATTGTGCTCATTCCCTGCCTTCTATTTCCTGCAGGGCCTCCCTATGTACCCACTGGAAAGAATGCAAAGCACAGGCCAGCTGGGATCTGCCAAGGCAAATCAACGCTGTAAACTTGCACAGTGAGGTGGAGATCATTTTCCCTGCCATTTCTTCCCATCAATGGTGTTTAATTATTTACCCTGCTCTCTTTCTTATGGGTGTCAATAAACCTAAATCACCCTGGACTTGGGAATACCCAGGCACCTGGAAAAGAAGGAAATGAACCAAAGGCTTGTTGCCTAAGCAGAAATGGGAAAATGCTCTGGGGCCCCTTCCCCCGGGAGGTCTCATTTAGGAACAAATAAGGAAGAAGGAGCATTTGCATT